GTATTTGTTTAATTTCTTATTCCTTTTGTTATTTCTTTCTTATAGTTAAACGTAATTTACAATGAAGAATTTCTTAATAAAACGTTTGCATTTTTGTTCATAGTTTGTCTCTTATATACGACTTACTTCATTACGTGTAATACACCTGGAGTACGGCATCCCGTCATAAAAAAAAACTAATGTGAATGAGCACAACGCGTATTTTAATTCTCAGCTGAATATAAACGAAAACGAAAAAAAAAATGAAAACTTGATGGTGCTACAAAAAGAAGGTGACGTAAAAAATGAACATCTCCGTTATACGATTTACCATAATTTATGCTGCAAATGTTTACACGAATCATATTATTTTGCTTTAAGATCAAAATAAAAATCGCCTGCCGTGATTCATATTTATTTCTATTTGCGTTCTGAATTGGCTGTAGCTCATTTCAAGAATGTCTCGCTGACTCTGAGGTCAACTGTGGTTGTCCAGTCGTTCCTACTCCGTTGCTCAGCCTTCGCTGAAGGCTGAGCTTCCGCAAAAGTGCGCCTTATCATTCCAAATTCCATCTATTTAAATTAAATGCGATATATAAACTAGTTTATTAATATCATAAATTAAAGGTGCCCTAAGGATGTTTCTGAGCTCGCCAATCTCTTGCGATAAGTCAGACTGCGGGCTCTAAGCATCCGAGAAATTCTTAAATCATGACGATGCGCGGCCGACTTCCATATTAAAGAGAAAGCAATCAAAGATCTTCGGCAAAGGGAGGCGCATTGTGCCGGCCGCCAGGACGGCATGTGGCCAATGAAAACGCGACGTTTGGTGGTGATTGCGAACGCTGTTATTACAAAACGTGTATGCATTGGTAGATGATGGAGGAAAGTAAGAGTTATAAAAAAGTTCTAATTTTTCGCTAAGGGGGTACATAATACTGAAATAATCGTCTCAAAAACAGTAAACTATTGCTGCATTTTTTTTTATTTTTTTTTTTTCCGCGGGAGTACTTTGTTTGGGCGTCAGTTCTCGAGCTCGCGCTCGGTGGTTGAATTGTAGTCCGGGCTGTATGGGCGACGAGCCGCACGTATTCGAGATATCACTCCGCGGTTCCACCGGTCAGAGGCGCGAGCATTTTTTGCTCGCTATATATTGGCTGACAGTGGTCCTGGTTTTGGAACATGCTCCTCTCATCGCCGGAGATCACCTCGGTGTGTTTTGATACTTGGTTGCTATTTTAATAGGGAAATCAACCGCGTATCGTTATGATTTAGAAATATCTAGGACACTTAGAGCCAGCTGAGTGAGTTTTAGCTATAATTAGGCTATAGGAGAAACGTCTTTAGGGCACCTTTAGGATCCTAGACCGAGAACGTAGCAGTTATCGTGACTAATCACAGCAACGAACATCCGGCATGCTCGGCACGATATTCAGTCAAGTACTCTCATACCCCCGTTCCTTTACAAAATATCATTTTTAGACGAAAACGTAAAAAAAAAAAAAGAACTCTTCAAGATCAGTGGCAGCCGCACAAGTAAATAACTGAAATAGGTGAAACAAGATAGAAAATATGTGAGAGCACTCAGAGACGGCCGTCTACCTGGCGGTTCGCTTTTTCCACATAAGTAGGGCTAACGAGGCGGAGCACCCTCTACAGGAGACCGGAGCTAGTTTCACCGACGTCGGGGAGGCGAGGATCGGGAGACTCCCAAGTGGGGGATGCCTTTGATGTCTGCTTCCCCCTGCACCCGAGGCAGAACACGGAGCCTGCTCATGTTAAGAGGAGGCATTAGGTAGAGAGCCCAAGGGAAGGAGTGGAGTGCCCACTATTCCCCGGGGCTGTACTCACGAAAGGACGCGAGTTGTTTCCGAGTATTAAGAACAGATTCCCATTTTTAACGATTTTGTTGTTCATATTACGCCGCATCGGCCAAAGGGTCATTCTCGTAGAAGGGGAATGAGTTATTATCTTTCGTTTTTTGTAGGAAATAAATACGGCACGCGCACGTTGATGAACAGAAATGTTAATATTTCCTTCCAGGAAACACGATGATATGTAAGATCACATAGCGAGGGAAAATGCTCAATAATCATGAAGTAACAAGATATTCTCCGGGAAATCTGGCAAAAAAGAAGAAAAACTTGTTAATGATATTTGATGCCGTCATCTTGAGGTTCATTTTTTTTGTTTTTATTGATTCGCACAGGCCACCACGTCTCGAGATAATTAAAACGCTCACAAATTACTCGATGTTTCGTTTTAGTGTACTAAGGATCCGTAATTGTTCCGTTTCTGTCTAAGGCTAGATTAATGGCCTAAAAATGAGAAAATAATGCGCGCCATCAATAAAAAAATAGAGACCGTAAATGTTTTGGTGATATTCTGCAGTTTGTCTAACATTTTATTTGACGTTGTTTAATATTCCTTCACTATTCTGCAAAACTAAAGTGGAACGGAAACTTCTGCTATAATTCCTTGTAATTAAACTCATAATGATCAAAATCTGTGTGTTAGAACTAAAGACATTATTGAGAAGAGAGACTTATAGACGCTTTCAGGGAGTTAATTACTCAAGCTGCCACCAGTCGGCGCGCCCTTCGAGCGCTTTCCGGGCCGCCATAGCCGACCTTCAGTTTCTCGCCGTTGCTCCGCGTTGTGTGCGGCAGCGGCCACCACCGGAGCTTTGTTTTCGTGTTCTTTTACATTTCACGTTGAAATTGTGTGTTTTCTTTAGGTAATTTCGATATTTCGGGAGTTTATTTAATTATGTGATATCTATATTTCAACATAGCTCTCGTATTGTCTTACTTATGGAATGGAATCGGTCAGAGAATGGATCAAAGATACAAGATTGTGGCCTAGGCTTCAGAGACCATGTAAGTTCATCACATTCTTTCGTTTTCGGCGCTAGTTTCAAGGGTTTCACATTAAAATTTCGAATATGCAATTTCATTCGCTTGAGTGGAGCTCTACCATATCTATATATATATATATATATAGTAGCTCATTCGACGTCATATTCAGTAGTCGTTAACTTTTCTTTTTATTTTCTTTAGAATCAAAATTATACGCGCAACACACTCATTCTCTTTTTTATGCACCGCACAAAACAGGAGTCAAAGTTGGCTCTATGCTGCTTTATTGCGCTTTCCTTCCTTGACTTCCTTCTGCTGCCTTGGCAGATTTAATATCCGCCGGCATAACAGATGCATTCTAGCGTTATGTTTTCATTTTTTATTTCCTTCAGGCTTTGTGAATTCTGGACGATAGAGGATGTATGCCTCTATACTACACCGTGCTCTATAGCCAGGAAAGCGTACGGGTTGACTTCAAATCACAATCAAGAGAAATACGCAGCGAACTGGCTCTATTAGAAGAAAAACAACCACAGCCGTTTTTTTTAAATCTATTAGGTAAAGTCGTTTGGCTATTCATTTTATAGAAACAAAATTTAAAAAAAACTTAATTGTAGTGATGCATTTTCAAATGTGTGTTTGTGAAATCGAAAGATTCTCGACAGAATTAAATATTAAAAAAACATATTTTCCATAAAGGAAACATATCATGCTCTGCAGCAGTAATAAAAACAAAAAGATTTCTTTTTTTTTCACGATACTTCACACCAAAAAAGCGATAATTGAAAAACGACTCCCAGGTTGTTTTTTTTTTTAATTTGTTTACTATGTTGATTATACCTTTAACTGAGTAACTTAAGTCTCGACTCATTCCTGTAACGTTAGCACGTTTTTGGGGAAGCTAATTTTCTGTCCATTTCTACCCTAAAAATATAGGTACCACGAGTATCTGAAGAAGGTTCGTTTTCGAAGAAAAATAATACTGATACTATACGATTTCAAATCTAGTAGCACGGTTAATTTATTAATCTATGGATCTTGTTTCTTCATGCATCTGCTTTGATTTAAATAAACGTTCTACTTGACTGCCGAGTGTCAACTCCTAATGTCAATTTGTCTTTAGTAATAAAAATATATGCCATTTAATGATGATACGCTTTCTGTGTTTCAGTTAATGACATTAGTCGAAATATATTTGAATACAATACTACCAGAATGCGCAATGGAGTTTAGTGATTTACGTCGTATTACTTGGTGTATGTAAGTAAAATATGTTATTATAATAAATCGCAAGTATCCTAAGTTATGTGTTATTTTCTTCCGTAGTGATTAGGCCATGTAAAGAAAAAACGTGGAAATAAATCATAACTCTCGTTTTATTGAACTAAATTAAACTTGAGTTGTTTAGACTAAGCCTCTTGTTTCTTATGACAGTTAGAATATTTTAAATTCGGCTTCCTTTATAGACAAATTGGCAACGTAAGGCAAATTCCAAGTCCAAAAATTTACAAAATACATTTTTGTGACGCGACATTTTAGAATTATTTTAATATGTAAAGTAGTTATGAGCCTACTCTACCAACTAAATATAAAGTACAAAATTGTCTGAGTTCAAAACGGCACTAGACTATGCACACCGTAATTTCTTTATGATTCGTATTCATACAAGCTTCTGCGGTTAGCGCTGCTTGGCACTGTCATTTTCGGTAATGCAAGCGCGAATTTTCATTTAGTTTTCCGTTATCGCGCTAATTTCTGTCTCATTCCATCGAGCTACAATATAGAGCAGTAAGTTAACTATTGTAAGAAATGCGGTATATGCCCGAAGTTGTCTAAGCATATTTTTATTAATATTTATAGTGCCGCACTGCGCACTATTGTACTGCATCGTTTACAGTTACCTAAAAGTTTAAAGCTAACACAAAGAAGAGACGAGAACGAACATGTCCGTCCTCGTTGTTTTGTGTTTATTTTTCATATTCTTAGTAGCTACGTCAACAAGTTCGTCGAATTCTTCGTACTCTACCGTATAGTAACCTATTATATTATTAGACATTTCTCGTTCAGTTTTTTTTAATCTCCCGAGCGACCAGTTTTTCTGAACGAAATAGGATCGAATGATAACTTAGCATATGTTTGCTATTTTGAGTGGCTAAACATTACCTTCGACGACGACTCCATCCGACCTGAAGCACTTGAGAACTCCGCTGACCACCTTCCACGCAAAAGTCAGGCACACGCCGTCTGCGAGAGAAAAACAGAAAAAATGAACAGGTTCCGGACACCGTCCCCGGAACTTGCCACCCCCTTCCCTCAGTCAGATATGATTACGAATGTTGTAACGTTTACATAGTCTGATAGGGTAAACTAAAATAGATTTATATGCGTGCCTTTTCTAGACATTATTATGGAGTGTACGGCTCTCCAGTTATTTTTAAACATATAACGGAAGCGTCGACCCGCAAGACGGTCAACGCCTAATCGCGGGCTGGTACGGCGATACGACTGATAATGAGCACTTGCCGACAAGAAACGCGTTAATCTGCTAGCATCTTTGGCTATAGTCGCGACACCCCGACTTCCTCCAACCCCAGCCGATGCTGCGATTCAAGGGAGCCGATGGAGCGGAACCGAAAATGCATTATCACGTTGCTCGTCGCTTTTGTTCGTTTTCTATTAGGACTGCACCGATCACGAGCAGTGAATGCGCGGCGATCCTGCGCTTTTTTACGACGCAGCTGTTTATGGCTAGGGGTCCCCGGATTTTTCGTGTGCAGTGACTAAAAGCTCTACGCTTGCACCGCCGTACGCGCCGCACGTGCACGCCTTCCCCCTTTAAAATATTTTAAGTAAATCACCAAAATAAAGCGCTGACGAACGCGCGTGCATGGTTGCATTTCAGACTTTTGCTTTAGAACATTTACTGTGTGACATTATTTCCTGCATTCTCCTTGATGATTGGCTAATTTAGCAATAGGTCTATTCAGTAGACTAGATATCAATAGGAGCCATTTTCAAGCTCAGAAGACTCACAACTAGATAATAAATGTTTTTCAAAAATGTGCCACTGTGCAACCCGCGTCCGCCATATCTACGCTCGCACCGCCCTCTTGCTGTCGTCCTAGTAAGTGCTTGCGTGTCTAGTTTTCTTCCCTTCCGCTCTCCCGGGGTAGCCGTCCCGTCGCGCGTGTCTACTTTCCGCCAGGTGGCAGTCCCGTTGCGCGTGTCTACTTTCCTCCGGCTCCTCGGGGCGGGTCTGTGTCGTGTATTTAACAGCTTCGCTAGTCATCCCCCCCTACACAGACAGGAATGGCTCATGATTTTTTTTTTATTTTGCGCGTATACGTTTAGCCGGCGATGGTACACCCAGAAAAGAAGAACACTTTTTTTTCGCGTCGTGATTGGCTTCATCGAAACGTAAGGTCGGCTGCGATCGGAGTTTAAGTAAGACTGAGTATAAGGGGGTGAGAAGGAGAGGGAGGAGTTCCGAGTTGTCCCGCCTCCGGCGCGAGTTTTCTCCCTTCGACGATGATTCAGCTTCGCGGGAGCCCCTAGCGCGTGCGTGCAGCCGAAGCACGGCAAGAAGGCACGGAGCGCGTGCTGAAGGCCGGGCGTTTGAAAGATATGCCATTCTCAGGCCCTTCCGCTGACTGCGCGCAGCCCCTGCGGCAGATATATTTGCCGACAGATAAGGAACCGGGCTTGGGTGTTCTCGCCAGACGAACCTAGCAGGCTACGCTCGTGCATGAACGAGCTTTCTCCGCATCCGCTCGCTTATTTATTTTCAAGTTTTCTCACGTTGCCTCATTTTTCGGCGATATACGGCTCTGAGCGGCCCACCCATGGGCGCTCCCGCGATATTTAAAAAATAAAATATCGGGGAACTCCACATTCTGTCATAGGCCGACCGACTGTGAAAAATTAAAAGTAGATAATCCACAGTTAGTCTCAACAAATAAACTGTATTTTAACGAAATTATTTGGTTCAGTTTCCTTTCCTAACGAATGATCGAAATAATATTTGTCCGAAAAGAATGCGTCAAAATATGGTGGTAAAATTTTTTTTTCTACTGCCGCATTATTTTGCGCAATAAGCGCTTTATATTGAGAATTAAAACCAAATCCCCCGATCAGCCAAAAATGCCCTTCCCGTCTTGTGGTAGCCGTTTGCAAGCTCACGTCGTTGTCCGAGAAATATGGTGCGCGGTAAAAACTCACATTTGCGAAACGAAGCAACATTTAAAGACGTTTCAAAATTCTGCGGGTGTATTGGGGCAAGATTTATTTCCTTTAAAACGAAACTTAAGAACGAAAGTAGCCCAATAATGTTATTATGAAGACCCTGTTTTGAGATGTGTCCGCATTACCGGTCACCCCCTCACCGACGGGAGATCGAAATGGGAAGCTTTGTGATATATTGTGCGGTGCAAGAGCATTTCTGCGTTGCAAGGAGGCGCGGCGCCCTCTTCAGCGCTCGCGTTCAATAAGAAAACTGTGAGCAAATTATCCACAAAATTATGTGTAACATTGCATTATTTGGTGAATGATTAGATATATATGATACAATGACTCATTATATCTCATAATACGTATAGCCCACTTTTATTTCTGAGTGTTTGACCCAAGCTATCGGACACCAATTCAGTTTCTTGTCTGTTTCCAATATTTTTTTTTTTGCATGGGTGTATTGAATATTGGAAACCAAGTAATTGATTAAAGCTCCTCTCCGACTTATACTAGAAGGCTCGCTAGCGTTCAGGAAATTTTGTTTTTTCATATATATATAAAGTAAGCGGTCAACGTTAGCATTCACTTGCAATCATGTCTTAGACAAACAAACGTTCAACACCGACGCTTATGCGAATCGCTCCTGCAAGCCTATAGGTGATTGCGGGCGTAGGCGTTGATGTTTGTCCCCGTTTCCCACTTGACAGAGCACTCTCAAAATTTTGAAGTAGTCGCATGCCCAGAAGAATTTTTTGAACGAGATTAGTTGCACGCCCGCCTCGCCAAGGCTCCTTACTATTCATAATGACTCTGCTGAGCGCCCGCGCCGCTCTGGCCAAAGGTGTTGAAAGCGACAAATTACGTGTGACGCAACTCAGTAGCCGTACGAAAGCGATTTGAACACTTTAAGTCAAGCTATAACATAGCGACATACTTGTGTAGGTCGTGTCGTATTCCTAGTCCCAGTGTCGATTATTGGAAATAATTTGCAGCGCAGTTCCGTTAAATCATTAAAAAACAACCTATTAGCCCCACCCCAAGCCCAGTTTACCATAGCCAGATTGTGTAAATAAAGAGTAAAGTCACGAGTCAAATAAAGGCGTAGGTAAATATGTTTGCAACTACTGTATTCGAAGTGCTAATTCTCAAAGCTACGACTTCATCGCCTACCTTGGAAATCCCCTTACTATTCTGGGAGTATCGGAACAACATAAAAAAGCGTTATTTGGAAGTTCTATAACGCACTCACAAACGTCGTCTTCTTTCCTCTTTATAAGAGGGCAACATTTCTAATAATTGTGCCCCGTCTTTTTTCAGCGCCCAAGGAGTATTTCCAATGCATCCCGTATGTCCATCTATTTATAAATGCGACATTTTAAACGCGATGTTATTTAGTCGTGTGCATTGCACTGCTACACGTTCGTTCACGCTTGTTGTGGCGAAAACCATTATCGTACCGTGCCGAGGAAATTGTATTTTCGGAGTACCGGCACTTCAGAGACATCTAGAAACTTCGTCGGAAACCAGCGTTCCGAGCAAAAGGTTTCGCCACGCGCTAAAAGAGGGCGCCACAATACAGGCGTAGGTTGGACAGAGCGCATCGATGCTTCTTTTTTCTTTTTTTTTTTATTATTCTGTTTCAGAACGGGGAGGCACGCCGCGACCACGCGTTCTACAAAACCGAATTAAGTTAAACGCTTAAACAAGCCCAGGAACGTATTTTTGAAGCCGCGAAGCACAAAAAAAATATTAATAAGCCACGAAACAATTGGGGAAAAATGAGTCGGACGTCATCAATCACCCCAACAAGACGCGTGTGACTAAAAGTATATAGATCTAGACTCGATTCAGTATCGTTTCCCCTCCCAACATTATATCCGGCTGAGTATGACCGATGACATTCGCATTTATTTCCCCTAACGTCCACAGGGAGCGAAGAGGTAGACAGAGTGATGACGTAGACAGAACAGAAAAAAAAAAAAGCGAAAGAATATCAAGTGAGCTTCCACACCGTCGTTTGACTCGCTGAGGTGAGCGGCAGCCTGTGTCCACAAAATGTCGGTTCAGAGTAAAGAACCCGCTGTCAAAGTTACCTAGCAACGAGGCTTAGCGGTTATTTAAAAAAAAAAAAGTATACTGAAAAACTTGGGAGGTGGCCTCCGGTAAGCTCGAGTTTTATAAAAAGATCCGGGAAAAGTACTTAATCCCCGCTGGCCAAAAGCGTCCCATTATTCCTCGGCTCACCACTCCCTCTATTTTAAGCCCCTTGATACCCCTGTTGTGTAGTGTTCTTGAGCCGGAGGTTTATGGCCAGATTAGGAGAGCGTTAGCGACGAAGAGAATGACTGCGGCTCGTGATAATATGACAGAAATTTAATTCGACTCGGTCGAAAGAAGGTGGTCCGCAGACATTTTATTACCGTTAGGAGCACGCCACTATTGATCGTTTTCTAGACCACAAGTGGTGATCTTTTAATAAATACGGGTATGTAGGAATTCCAATAATGTCATGTAGTTCTATGTCTAGAAATATTTTCGCCAGAGCTTAAGAACTTCTCGTCGAACGTTCATTTTAAAATTTTTGGTCAGCTGTCCAAGCATTTGTAGGAAGAGAAAAACACAAGTGCCAGAGCAACATAAAAGGCGATCTACTCTGCGGCAAAATGGATGCTATTAACGAAGTAGAGTAAGTACTCAATATCTTTAGATGATCAATAAAATGATTCTTCATGCTGTGTTCCAGGCAATTTATCTCAAAATCCTTCTTTAATATTAAAACTTGTATAAACAATCACGCTTTGTTTAACTGAAAGAAAAATGTGGAACGTACTAAACGCAAATGTTGATTCAGTATGTCACAGGGCAGCGAACCATGACGAAGCGTCTCCCATTTTACGTTTGTACAGTGTCTGGAAGTTTTTTTTGTTTCTTTTTTCTCCTAACATTTTTTATCTTGATGATGTGGTATTGGAATAGGATACTGCAAATATTAGCACAAGTTTAAATGATACAAAATTGAAGCACACTGGCATCCTTGGAATGTATAGGTTAATATTGCTTTACCGTACTCAATTGGCAGTTTGATCATTTATTATCGCAGCCACAAATCGACCAAACACACGTGTTCGAAAGACCTGCATGCAGAAATTGGAGAGCAAAAGCCACCTGGATATCGTTAATATATTTTTCTTATTAAATAAATAACGCCACGGCATTGTGCAACGTAATATTAATAATTTATGCCAGGACTTAATTAGGTACTTAATTAAGCCTGAAAATACGTCATATACGGACGTATTTAGTCATTTTTAATAAATTCCCAGAATGCCGGTCGCCCCTTTGTTATTATAAGTCAATAACGGTATTGGTGTTTCTTGGTTGAGACCAAAAGAATAAAATATTCTTTTATCGCTTTATATATAAGCCCATAACAACCATAGCAGTATATTATTTTTTCACCTATATTTACGTCCCATAAGAGAACTATTCCTTTTAAAACTTACCAGAAAAAATAATACCGTGAAAAATAAATACTTACTCCAGCATGGTCGGCTTTGCAGCATTTCAGTTGGACAGAATCGACGGTTCCCAGGCTTTCCATCCGCTATGAGACCCCGCGATCGAGTTTGTAGTCCAACTGGAAAGGACATCAGTTTCACAAAAATATTATGCTTTTGATGCAGCCTTCTTGCCAAGCTCTAAGAAACGCTTATGCGGATTCCCTGCAACGTATACAAAACTCTAAATATCCGATATAAAGCTAAAACAAAAACCAACTAGAAAACCGTTATTAGAAATGTGTGGACTGCACTGAAATAGTGTTAGGTGAAACATCACAGGGAATATTTTGTAGCATATATTGCGCGCACTGAATCAGAGTTTTTACGTAGAACTAATTGTCAACTAAGCTTTCTTAAAAAAGTATTTTGAGTTCTTCCCAGCGGTGCAGACACGCTCGAAATTTGAAGTCTAAGTAGTTTTGAAAAGTACGATAGCTCGATGATAATTAAGCCTTATTGGACCGTAATTGTTATTGAACTTTAGGCATCATTTGATCTCCAAGCTGCGGGCAGGCTTGTAAAAACATTATCTTCGAATTTCGTTTCGAGAAAATCAACGAAGTATTGTACAATATTCTGCATAGGCATTAGTTACAAAAAAAAAATAAGTATATTTTAACAAATTATTAACGTTTGGAGACCCCATGTATGAATAAGAATCTCAAAAGGCGTCTACATAATTGTCAATTCTTAATATGCATTATCATCGTCGACTCACTGCTTGGAGTTTGAAAGAGCATGTAAAGAAATTAATAAAAGTTCGCATTACTCAATGTGATTAGATAATTTTCTGTCTTGCCAGTCAGCAAACGTTAGGAATAAAACCAAAAGATGTGATAGCATATACTTATTACAAAGAAATGCTCAAAAATCGTCTAAAACTATTTGCCACGAACTCCCCCCCCCCTCTCCCAATGCATTCGCAGAGCCGATCACTGCACCCTCAGGTATTTCGCTCAGTGATAAGGAAACAAAAACATTTTACCGAGATGTCATGTATGGAATCTTGCAGCTAGTTTGATAATTTGAATTTTTCCGCTCACATAAGTGTAACGTCGCACACTCTGATTTTTGGTCGAAAAGACTACTTTATTTCTTCTCTCACTATTTGCCGAGTAACTTCGATACTTAATGAGGTTCTCTATTCACTGTACGAGAAAGCACACGCAGGGCCACTTTTTGCGAAGAAATAATTGAAGTCACAAGAAGGATTTAACAAGGGTCCTGCACAACATGCAGGATTGTAACAATATCGCTTTTAAGTTTTGAGATGAACGCTTCATCCAGGAAAGAAGCCCATTTCCAGGCATGAAACATTCACCACATCAAGTCTTGCTATTAATTTCTTGACTTGTCAGCGACTTTAACATGTAACAGGTAGCTTAAGCAGAGACCACTCACGGATTTCACCGGAGTCGCAGTTTCGGTTGCATGCAGACCACTCAGACCACGGAAATAATGAACAGCCATGGGGGCACTTGACGTAACAGTCTTCAACAGTCTGCAATGAACAATACAAGTTCCTAAGGGATTTAGAGCCGTATTCTCTGAATATTAAATACATAGTAGGTGTAAGTAACGCGACATCATCATTACGATACATATGTATTATATATTTTATCTTTCATACGGCGCTATTGGAATCTAATGCAATTTACGGCTTATATAGCCTTACTAACCAGTGCCTTGGAATGGAGATATGATATGCATGCAGAATTGTGGAGACGTCAGCAAAGGTTTATTGGTATTGTCTTTCATAGCTTGAATTGTAATAAAGCCGAAGTTGTAACTAATTAAATTCTCGACTTTCTTACCAAGAACTTCACTAGGCTACAGTTGGAGGAAGCGGATAAAAAAAAACATACATTCCAAATATTCAGCTCTATGAATAGTCAGACGTAGCAAACAATTCGGTGAAATGTTAGAAATTTTCAGTTTGTCTTTACAATGAAACTTCTGTAAAGCAAATTATTTTTGATCGTGACAAAGCATTTATTTTTTGTTCATTACTTTTGCTTATTTTTATAAGCTTTACAAAACTGTGACAGGAAATAGGTGTCAGCATAGCCGACTTACGTGGACATCATTCCCAATGGTCAGCCAGTCAAGTCCGAGGATCGCAGTGACAGACGATGTGAAGTTCACAAGATGGCAAAACTGGTCGTCCACAACGGTGCCATCAGATCTTTGACAGGTCACGACCCTCTTCCTCGTACCAAATCCACAGTCTGCGCCCTGCAATAGACCATCGAACTCGAATCAAAATACCTGCACTCACAAAGACAAGTTTCTACTTCTGGACACTGGTAGCCTGCTGCTAACAAGATTGGTTCATGTTGTATGTCAGGCTATATCATTCGAGGAATAAACATAAAGATGCGCCATGACTTACCTTCGGATGTTTTTTTATTCACACTGTGAACACTAAAAAATATTATGCCATAAAGTAGACTCGTATTAAAAATATGAGTCTACTTTCAGAAGTTCCTGTGTACATACTGCACAGTAAAACTTTCGAAAGAAAAACTGATTGGGTATTTATTAAATCTAGACCGCCAACAAGAAAGGGGATCGATGGTATGCTGCAATAGTAATGCAGGTTGAGTGACAAAGAAGATGGACTTCAATGTACCGATAAGAAGGGCCCGACATTCCTCGCATTTTTGGCACTCAATAAGCTGATCAAAGAAAGCCTAAACATTAGTGTTTCCAAGTACGGCGCGCATGCAAGGTTGAACTTCAGAAAATATGCACCCCAAAAATAGCCTGCAAAAATAAAAAAAACTACTGCGACCTACGATTAGGAAGGAACGATTCGACTTACAAATGAACACCCTTTATGGCTAGTCGTAATGATGCTTTTGTAGAACTCCTCACATGATGCAGCCAGATAACTAAGAACTGACACAGTCGCGCCGATGCAACATTTAGATCTACATGGCAAAAATGCCGCGATGGCATCCGATTTTAACAAGGAATTTCGTGCGTGATTAAAGCAGTCAGACAGCCCCAGTAAAAGTTCCTTTTTTGGTTCTTTGTTCTTCCTTCGTGCTTCTCTGATGATGATGGTCCTCGGCGTCTTCTGTTGGTGCCGCCAAGTCCAGGAGCCGTTAGGTGGTTGTAGTTTTCCAAGGTGTTTATTAGTCCGAATTATTACTGACTCTGTACCTCGTTACAAAAAGTCAGGGACCCGGCATCATTGCTGCGCGCCTCCAAGTCTGCGTGCGCGCCCAGCTCATACGCCAAAATCGTCCTTCTCTCGCCCGGGGCTTTGTAGGAAAGGTCCTTCTCTCCCTCTGGCCAGGACCGACAAATAATTTTAAAACAGAAGAAGATCAAGTGGTATACACCTGTCCAATAAACTTCCGACAGTAAATATAATACCCCGTCAGTTCTCCAACCGCCAGAACCGAATTCCTCGTCTAATCGGCCCGTGCATTGTTCGCCGCCTGGCTGGCGCCTGAGCGCCGACTGCCCGGATCGGGTAACACGCGCGCTCCGAAAACTCGGGCGGACGGCGTCGGGAGCAAAAACAAATAATAAAAGTACACACACCCGCCGGCGAAGCAGCCGCAACATGCACACTATTTACCCCGGCCTTACACCTCACTGTACAGAGTAAAATTCACAAAAGGGCCGCGTGACTACAAAAGGAAACAAAATTTAGTCTTCTCGGCAGTACATGCGCTGCGCAAAGAATAAAGAGCAAACAAAGTGGCTTGAACAAAAGTGTTTTGACAGTCGTGCCTTGGAACGTTTGTAAAATGTACGAACAAAACAAAGCCTAGCAAAGAAAATAAACACATCACTTGCTGAACAAGTCCCAGCAGCTAGTTTCACCGCCATTCTTCCAGCTCTGAGGTGGGTAAATCACCTCCTCACTCTACGGGCAAGGGGGAACGTTCGCGCACACCTCAGGCGACGTGGCTCCAGGATTATCGCTAGTGCCCCAATTACAGTTCCGAAGTCGTGAGAGCGCATCGGCATTGCCGTGACACGCACCCTTCCAGTGAGTCACGGACACGTCATACCTCTGCAAGGCGAGCGCCCATCTCGCAAGCTTTGCGCCATGCGGCGGGCTACACGTGAGGTAGCTTAGGGGATTATGGTATGACACAGGGATCGGCAGTATTTCAAATACAAGTATTTGAAATACCTATTTCAGATACATTGTGTATTTTTCATTTGTATTTAATTACAAATCGAGTAATGTATTTGACGTGTGTATTTCAATACTAAAACTTGGGCATTTCAAATACAATTGCAATTAAATACTATTTTGTGGGCGAAAATACATCCCTCAAATTTATTGTCACTGTCCAGAGAAGGAAGAAAACTACGTTCTGCACCGAATGCAGTGTCTCTCAATCAAGCACAAGCGTTTAGTGACTTTGTGATTACGGTGCTAGTCCAGGGCAAGAATAGTGACGAAATCGACGTTCATAGGCAGACTGGCTAAATAAGTGCCTGTGACAACTTGTGATGCTTTCCAACCTGATTTCCATCCATATTTTTGCCTGGTCATTCTAAATGCGCGGTTCGTCCAGATTCTCCACAACTGGTGCGAGTTACAACAATAAAACATTCTCTAGCTAGTGCTGCGCGTCTTGGTCGTCTCGGTTCTCTGTTCATCTATACCAAAATGTAATCGACAAAAAAAGCCGCTTCAAACTCTGTACTTTTTCCACCAATTACGTCCAAGCTGATGACATGTTTTGTGATTATATTTGTATTACGTTACTAGAGCCTCGCACACTAACTCCCGAGGGTGCGATGCAATATTAAAGATACCCAGAAACCCGCTGCAGGTGTCCTGAAGTCGCTGACGCAAATTTTATAGGAATGTATTTGGAAAAGTATTTGGAGGAGACCAAATACATTTGGTTATATTTGCATCTTGTACTTAAATGCTTTTTTGGAAATGTAATTAAATTTGTAATTAAATATATTTTTGACGAAGTATTTTGTAGTTGTATTTCGGTACATATTTGCATGTATTTTGCTTATCCCTGGAGGAGACCAAATACATTTGGTTGTAATTGTATGTTGTGCTTAAATGCTTTTTTGGAAAAGTAATTAGATTTGTAATTAAATACTTTTTGACGAAGTATTTTGTATTTGTATTTCGATACATATTTGCATGCATTTTGCCCATGCCTGGTGTGACACAACATGAATGCGGGCTCCAAACAACCAGTAGTCGAACGTTTTTAGCGCCCATATTATGGCGAAAGCCTCGCGATCTATGGTCGACCAGCGGGTCTGGGTCGGGGTGAAGCGATGGCTGGCGAAAGCTATTGGTTTCTCTGCCCCATCCTCCCCGACTTGAGCAAGGCATGCACCGGCTGCCGTGGCAGACGCGTCGGGGAAGGGCCAGTATGGATCGCGAGGTTCTGGTGTGTACAGTGCTACCGCGTTGCAGAGGGAATCTTTCAGTTTAATTAACGCGTCCTCTGCCTCCTGCGGCCACGGGATCGGGTCAGGCACGCCGCGCCTCGTTAGTGTAGTGAGCGGAATAGCTATAGCTGCGTAGTTATTGTCATACTCGCGGTAGTATCCACAGAGTCCGAGCACACTTCTGAGTTCTTCCTTAGTTCGCGGCCTTTCCGAACCCCGCATTGCCGCCACTTTTTCTGGGTCAGGACTATGACACCCAGAACCGACCATGTGCCCCAGGAACCGGATTACACCCTGTGCCATTTGGCACTTCTCGGCGCTTACGTTCAGGCCCGCTGCCTGCAACAAACTAAAAATGATGTCCACATGTCTCACGTGTTCGTCCCATGTGCGAGAAAATATGCCGATGTCGTCTAAGTACGCGATGGCGTAGTCTCGGTGCGAGGACAGCAGCGTGTTCACCATTCGTTGGAAGGTGGCGGCGGCGTTCTTGAGCCCAAACGGCATCACCCGCCACGCGTTTTGCCCCTCGTGCGTGACGAACGCCATGAGGTGCTGGCTTTCGGGTGACATGGGCACCTGCCAATAACCGCGCCGGAGGTCCACTACCGTTATGAATTGTGCGTGCCCAACCTTGTAGAGGAGTTCCTGCGCGTTCGTTATGGGGAATGCATCGGAACGGGTCGCAGCGTTCAGTTTGCGGTGGTCCACGCACAGGCGGACGGTCCCATCCTTCTTGGAGACGGAAAGCACCGGATGCGCGAAGTCACTTTCTACGGTATAGGTGAGCCCTAACTCTAGGAGTTCGCTAATCTGTCGACTCACCTCCCCTCTTAGCACTTCCGGTACCCGGTAAGGATACGCTTTCTTAGGGTGGAAGCCTTCCTCCAGCTCAATCCGGTGTTCTCCCACGCTCGCTCTACCCGGTGTCCCGTCAAACAATGCTTCATGTTTCGAGAACACGTTTGCAACCGCCTCCCTAGCGTTCTCGTCCAGATGGGCCAGCTTCTCGGGGGCGAGATTCGTGCCGCCAGAGGAGGCTGGTCCCTTTCGGGGCGCATAGTCCACCTCACCGAAGTCTTCATCTTCGTGAAAAACGACACCGACGTGTCCAACCCTAGTGTAGTAAGGTCTGAGTAGGTTAGCATGCACTACCGTCGTCTCTTTACCCTCCCTCTCGACTCGGTAAGAGTTCTGTCTTTCGCGCCCAATAGCAGCTAACGGCCCTATCCACCTGGGCGCCATCTTACTTGCCCTGTCTGTGTCAAAACGTAGTACCTGATCCCCGACTTGGAATGTCTTGGCACGCTCAGTACGGTTGTACCTTTCTGCGTAGTTTCTCTGCTGCACACTAGCTGTTAGTCCGGCGACCTCAGCGACCATTTCCAGCCGCTCGCGCAGCTGTCGTAAGTACTTCGCAGGTTCTTCTCTCGACGTGTCGGGCACGCTTACGTCGCCTGCCCAGGTGAGCTGGAGTATCGCAAGCGGTCCGGTCGGGTTCCTGTCATAAAGCATTCGGAAGGGAGGGACCCCTGTCGTGTCGTGGGGCACTTCACGGTAGGCCCATAAGACGAACGAAACTAACCTGTCCCGCTTTCTGGAATCCCTCTCCATAACGTGAAACAGCATATTTTTCAGCACGCGGTTCCACCGTTCCACCGCTCCGTTGCTTTCTGGGTGATCTGGAGTGGAAAATCGCGGAGCGCATCCTAACCTTTCAAGCATCAACTATGTCAGCTCTGCTGTAAAGTTCGTCCCTTGGTCTGAGCAGATGACCTCGGGCACGCCGGTGCGAGAAAAAATTTCGAGAAGGGCGTCACACGTGGCCTTCGCTGTCA